CCAGGCCTGTGTCCTGACTGGGAATCGAACCTCTGATTTTTCAGTTTACAGGACAATGATCCAACCAACTGAGCCACACTGGCCAGGGCCAGAATAGTCTTCATTTTTAAAGAAATTCACAGATTGTTCTAGAAGCTATCATGTTGGTTTTCCCCAGGCTTGGCCATCGCTGAGTGTAGAGACAGTAGCCTGCTCACAATCTCTCAGCCACAATGCCGGAGCTAAGAGGCCTGGGGAGGGACAGGAAGGCCAAGGGCCAGGTAAGGCTGTCAAGTAAGGATTGACTGAGGCTCTCATCTCCAGGCAGGTCCTCCATTTTTGGTTATTTATTTATTTACTGGGCTACAACTCTAGAATTGTTAGTTATCAGAGCTAGCAAAGTCCTCCAAAGCCATCCATCCAATCTTGCCATTTTACAGTGAGCAAAATGAAGTCCAGAGGGGGCTTGCCTAGGAACCTGTCTGTGGCTTTTCTGCGAAACATCTCAGTCAAGTGTGACTGCTGGATGGTGCCCTCAGCGCAGAGGAGAAGGGGGCAGGGAGGAAGGAGAAGGGGGGGAGGAACAATTTTGCCACCCTTCCTTTTCATCTTCACCTGTGGGACCATCTGGAACTGTCTCCGGCTGGAAGGAAGGAATCCCATCCCACCCTCTCACCCTACAGGCAAACCAAAGGCCCACAGAAAGGAAGGGACTGGTCCAGGGTCACACAGGGACGCCTGGGCCAAACTCAGGCACCCTGAGTTACACTCTGCATGACTCAGTTCTCAAAGACATGCCTTTGCTTTGTGCCGTGGGCACAGGAGTTGTTTTCCCTGAAATAAACTCTCCTCTGGTCCTTGAGTACATTGTAAAAAGGTCGAAGGGCAGGACTGGCCCTTAAAGCATCCTGAAGAAATGAAGGCCCAGCCTGAACTTTGAAACCGAGTGCTGTGCTGGATGTGGTCACATCTGCCGTCACGTTGACTGGGAATTCACGAGGGTCAGAATTTAGGGACCTCAGAGACTAGAAGTCTGAGTTCTGTTTCCCAGGTAAAGACATTAAGTTCCAGAGAGGAAACGACTCCTCCAACAAGACACAGGGATGCAGCGGATCCTAAGACCCATGTTTTCTCACCTCCTGCCCTGTTTTCTTATTCATTCATTCATTCATTCATTCATTGTAGTCCCTACAGTAACTGGCATTGTGCTGGTCTCATAACTCTTCTTTCTTTATTTCTTTTTTGTAGCGGTAGTAAGGACCATTTATTACTATGCCTGGTTTTGGGCTGTGTTGGGGGCTTTTTGGTGTGTGATTTGTCACATAGCTCTCACCACAGACTTATAAAAGAAGTACCATTATCCCCATTCTACAGGTATGCACACTGAGGTGCCCGAGATCATGTAATTTAACAAAGCTGCACAGATAAGAAGTGGCACCATCAGTCTCCCACTTTCAGTAGCAGGCTTCACGCACACTAAGCCAAGACTCTCAGAACCCAGAGTTCTCCCCCAATCACCCCCCCCCCACCCTAACCCCGAGCTGACGGCAGGGCACCTCCAGACCCAGACCCCCGACCCGCCCTCAGAGCTTGGTGCTCAGGGGTGTGTCCTCAGCAGTGGTAGCCCTACCGCAGAGCCACAGCCCCCAGCTGGCTCCACGACTTCTCAGTTCGCTCTATAAAATCTTGCTGAGTGGGATAGGAACAAGGTGCTTTATGTACAAGCTGCCCTTGGTCAATGTAAAAGCTTTAAAGAATGCATATTTCTTTTCATAGATATCTAATGAATGCTCATCACTTGGGTTTGTCAGTTCCGTTCTCCCTGGTTCTGTATTATTTTCTGCCCGAGGCTGTATTTAGGCAGAACTGCACTGTTTCCATCCCAGGCACTCTTTGGAGGCCAGCGGGGCCACTTAAGGATGGGTCCACCAGGGACCAGAAATGTGGGCCCCACCACTCTGGCCAGAGCATCCCAGAGCCTCTAGGATCCTGCCCACGGGTCTGAGGATTTCGGCCCAAGAGAAATTCCGGGTGAGAGTCTGAAGGTGAGGGAGGGCTCGTTGGTACTCGGCGCCCTGCCTGTTCCCCAGGTAATGCTAACTTGACCGGACACCCTGGGTTCGTGAGAGGGGCTGCGGAGAGGGACGTCAGCTGCCACTACAGCTGCGTCCACCAAGCAGAGAGGAATGTTGCGCCCTCTGTCCTGCTCCAAGTGCTGGCCAGGACACTTCTCATGATTGCAGCTCCCTGAGTCCCTGACAGTGCTGCTCGCCCCTCCTCCTCCTCCTCCTCCCCGGGCTTGATGCCTCCTTCTCAAAGTCCAAACGGTGCCATCAACCTGCCAGCTTAAATGCCTGGCTCTCCTCCAAAACTGATTTTCTTTTACCAAGAAGCCAAATTCACCACTAGGTCCCAGGGGCAGAAGTTCTATATCGGGAAACTGAGGCAGTAGTTAACAAAACAGCCGCATCACACCTGTTTCCATGGTGAATGGTTCTACCAAGGGCTTACCCTATGGACTCATAACAAAAGACGTTTTATTTTCTCTGAGGAACTCTTAAGTTCCTTAAAGGCAGATTCATTTCTATATTCCCAGCACCTACTACACATACTCAAGAAAGATGTAGAATAAATGCGGAATTATTTAACCCCCACTTACCTGGGAAGGGGAAATCCAAAGGCTCATTGGGGCCCCATAGGGAGAATTCTATTAACTTCTGAGACATGTGACCACCGGAGACCAAGGTGATGATCCCAGGGGCCTCCAGAGAAGAGGGCCAGTGCGCTGGGCTTCAGAGCCCGGCTCCGCCAGGCCCTGCTCCTTGTGTTTGGGGGACAGGGAGAACGGGGGTTGGATCCCTGTTTTCGTTTACGTGAACTCAGTGACTTTGGGTAAGTTATTTACCTCCCTCATCAATGGAAGGGAAGTGCCAAGTGGAGGTGTCCCACGAGACAGTTATTGACATACTGTCATACCAGATGGAGAGATTCTTTACTCATGTTCTGAGATCTTGAGAGAAGAAATTCTAGTCTTCAGTGTCCCCAGCCTTCACTGAGTACCTGCTATGTGTGAGGTGATGTATCAGGTGCTGGAAAGGCAACAAGAAATATGATCTTATCTCTTTTCTCAGGGGGCTCATACTCCAATCGTGGAGGCACAACATAAACACTGAGAAAGCCAAATCCCAGCCCAATCCAACCAACAGCAAGGGACAACACAGGTTCTATAAAAATAATGGCAAATGGGTGGTACCATCATTACAAGACAGAGGCAAGAGGACCCCTGCCTTGGAGTGACATGGGATAACTTTGCAGGGACAGGCTTTCTGCTCAGAATTCATTTTCCAGTCAAGAAGTGCTCACCTTGGCTTAATATTTTAACACTCATTCATTTAATAAATATTCATTAAGTCTTTTTTCCCCCAGGTACTGTGTTGGGTGGAAATGTGTGGTTTCTGCACTTAAGGAGCTTCCAGAGATGGACACTGAACCATAAATAGCGGTATGTTTACAAATCGTTATCAGGATCAATAAAAGCATATATGAAGTAAGCTCTGGAGAGAGAGTTCAGGACTTAACATTTCGAACAGACTCCTCAGGTAATTCATAAGAACCCTAAAGTTTGAAAATCGCTCTTCTGGGCCAGATACAGATTTCAGTGAGAAAATTGCAAAGGTTTTAAACCCTCTCTTGATTAGGTTGTATTCTAAAAAAGGTAACTCTGGTTTTGGGAGAAGGCTAGGATGGATGCAGGGAGTGGACTAATTGAGGAGGCAGATACAGTATCTCAGGCGAGGGATAACTTGACCTAGTACAAGGGGTGTGGCTGGAGGTTTGTCAGAGGGAACTGACTCGTGAGATACTTTGTAGAAAGAACCTTTATTGTTTATACAGAAACATTTATGTATGTCATTTACTTTTTCTGATGAGATAAGTAATGTATGATAGTTGCAAAACTTGAGACATACAGGAAAAGAGAACAAAACAAAGGTAAATATTCTGGTATTTATTTTTCTGACTTTTTCTATACACACATACTCAGACATATGGATCTAGTTTGTTGTGGTTTTACTATGATGGAGCAATTCTGTAGTACTTGATTCCTGATTTTCAAGAAAACAATATATCATAAGCATCTTTTCAGGTGAGTATAGACGATATCATTTTGAGTATCTGAATGGCATTCCACCGAGTAAATGTGCCCCAGTTTGCCAATCTACTGATGAATATTTAAGTTGTTTCCAACTTTCCACATCATTACAAACAATCTCTTTCCTTCCACACTCGTTTTTGAACACATAAATGTTTACTTCCTTAGAATAAATTTTTGTTAGTGGGATTACGGGGTCATTGACAAATTGTCTAGGTTTAATCACACGTACTCACACTGTGTCCTAAGGGGAGTCTTAGATGAGGAGAACATCAAAGTCGGGGGCCGGAAGTCTTCCTTTTGAAGGCCTTGGACTGCTACAACCATACCCTGGCTTTTCCCAAACTTTCCATTCCCTGGCACAGACGTAGTGTGTGCGGTCCGAGCTCAAGACCAGTCCCAGCTCTCCACCCCCAGGCTGGCATTTTGGATGGGGCCTCCGCAGCCTTCCCAGCCCTTAGGAATCCGTCCCCCTGTTCCCCTCCCCCACCGCGGCAGGGCGTGTTAGGAAGCAGCTCAGGCAGGCAACGATTGCACCATCTACGGTTTGAAAAGGAAGTCGAGGAAGCGCGGGGAGGAAAATCAAGCGTCCCAAAGGCTGAGCCCCAGCAGCCAGACCAAGCCGCCTGCAGCTCTCCTTCCAGCCCTATTCGCTGGCCTCCGATCCCTCGCCTTCCACCCCCTCCCCAGCCCAGCCCCTTTGCTTAGGTACCAGCCCTTTAAGAAGCTGTCAGGGTGGCGCTGCTGGCCCCGCCCCGCAGGGAGGGCCTCGAGGGAGAGGAGGGGTTGGTGGTGGCTGAAGTTTGGGGGGGGGGGGTGGAGCGGGTTTGGGATCTATTTTTAGCTCCGGGTCGAGTCACGTGACGGGAGTGACGTCTCCGAATGTTGTTGTTGGTGGCGGCGGCGAGCGGAGCCGGAGGAGCCGCCGCAAAGATGGAGGAGCCGTCGGGGAGGCGCTGCCGCTGCTGCCGCCGCCGCTGCTGTCGCCGCCCCCCGCGAAGCCGGAGCTCGAGCCACAGGGGGTGAGCGCACCGCACCACCCCGTATCCCACCTTCCTCGGGCCCCCGGGACGCGAGGCGGCGCACCCTCCTCCTGCCGTCGCTGCCTGCGGGCGCCCAGCGCGCGCGCCGAGCTCCGCGCCCCCCTTCCTTCCTCCCGGCTCCCGGTGCCGGCCGGCGCCCCTCGGGAGCATCGCCAGTCCGGGAGCCGGGCCTCGGGGTTACTGCGCCTGCCCCTCCCCGCTCCTCCCTTGCAGGGGCGCCTTCCTGCAGGTAAGGGAGGGGCCCGCTTTCCCGGGACCCGCACTCCCAAATGGCTGGGACACGGCCGGGGCTGTCTGATTTGTCCCCTCCCGAGTGGCGCATGTTGCGTTGCAGAGCGATTTGAGCTCTGCACCCGGATTCTATGCAGACCCCTCTTCGCTGGACAACCCTTTCTCGGTACTCTGAGGTGAGGGGCGCTGCCCACTGCCCGGCGCTTCTTCCCGTACCTAAGAACGCATTCTTCATTTTGTGTCCTAGAGTTTCGTGCATGAGGAGGGGGCCTACGGGCCCATATTACTTCTCCTCTCTCTCATTATTCTCACCCCCCTCCCCCGTGAGGCGTTACTGCGTTTGTTCCCACCCTCTTCTCCCGTCTGACACCCTGAAGCGAGCGAGAGAGAGAGAGAGAGAGAGAGAGAGAGAGAGAGAGAAAGAGAGAGAGAGAGAGAGAAAAAGGAGAGAAGAGAGAGAAAGCTGGGAGATGCAAGCTCCCTGCTTCTTGTCTCGGGTAGATGCCCCCCATTTTTCATCCTGGGTCTGTATCTCATGGAGGCGGTGATACTGCCTGTGTCTTTTAACTTGGGGTAGGCTGCTTCCCTTCCCCACCCTTCTCTGGGGCCCTGGGGAAATGAGAACTGGCTGGATGATAAGTAATTAATTTGGGAGTCTGGTTGGTGGCGGGGAGAAGGGAAGGTGGGGATGTCCCATTTCGGGGAGGAGGGGACCACCTCCCCCTACTATTGGCCTTTTGAGATGATGTGATGGGTAGCAGTTGCAGTTGCTTTTAGGGGGCGATGCTCAAGAGACTCTGACAGTGACCACTGTTCTCCTGGGGCTTGGAATTAGGTCTAGCAATTGGGGTTGGTGGTGGTGGTGGTGGTGGTTGGGTTCAAGGTCCAGCAGGGAGGGAGGATGGAGCGAGATCGTAGGAACAAAAGGAGGCAGGGGATGGGAGGTCCAGGAGTCTTGGTTAGATAGACTCCTGACCAAACTGCCTTGCAGGACATCAGCTAGGGGCTGGGTCATGCCCTGGGCCTCTTCACGATCACAGGATATAGACAAGGCAGGTCCTCTCTCTGTGTTCCAGTCACCAGGTCCCCTGAGCCTATGCTGTTAAGATGCTGCGCTGGGGATGGTGGGTGAGCCATGTAGGGGGCCACCTGCTTCTCCATTCCAGTCTTCCCTCCTTCCTCTCCCTCCTAAACACAGCTTGGGGAGCTCTTGGTGTTCTCCAGCTCCTTTCCTTGAATCCTCTTTTCGCTCTGTCCCGGTTGGACTTGGATCTGGACTGTGTCTTGACAAGCCAGGCAGGGGTCTCTGTGAGTTAGAGGGGCGGGTGCCCGGCGTCTCCACCTCATCCTGGAACTGTGTGCTTGCCAGGGACCAGAGAGACAGATACCAGGTGCAAGTTACTTGGGGGCAAGGAAGGAGGAGGTGTTAACTCTGTGCCAGTTTTCCCTTCCTCCCCAACATTTCCTCCTCTGTGGCTGGACCCCATAATTTGGAGGAGGGGGGTGCAGCAGTATCACATGCCCCAGCCCCTCCAAGTAGTGCAGAGACAAAGGTTTGCTTTCCCTTCTCTAGGGGTGACATCTTAGCTGTGTGTTTAGAAATGGGGCCTGGGGATGGGGGGGTATTTTGTGTTTCTTCATAAGGGGGGAGGGGGGCCAGCTCTAGGAGCTGGGGGGGAGTACAGTCGGTGCTGAAGTACCAGCTGCTCTTTAATAATTAATTCTTCCTACTCACATCCCTTTGAGGAGGGATGTCTGGAACACGGCATCAGGCTGAGCCAGCCTGCTAGAGGACGCACTCCTGTTGGTGGGGGGGGGGGGAGAGACTGCAAGGGGGGGCGGTTCTTGGCATTTTTGGAGCACTGTCGCTTGCTCATGAATGAAAACCTGATGCAGCCTGTGAGGGGGCCTATTGTAGCCTGTAGCTGACTTTGGCTAATTAAACTTTCTCTGCCTTTCTTCTCCCCCACCCCACCTCACCCCAGTCCTGGCTTCAGCCCTCTCTTGAATGGGGACCCTGTCTGGTAGTGCTGGGGAGGGGGTATCATTCTGCCTGAGGTTTTAGGGCAAACAGTCCGGGTCTTCTGCCCTCTGTCTCTGCCTCCTCCCTCCTTTCCCTCTCACCCCCCCCCTTTTTTTTTCTAGAAATAGCAGCCTCCTCCATCTGGTTTGTGCAGATGCCTGGAGCTGCGTCTGAGCAGACAAACAGAAATGGGCCGGTTGCAAAAATGAATTTGTTAGCCTGGTGCCTTTTTTCCCTCCACTGTTGCCCTCCCCCTTCTCTTAGTTTGGGGCCTGGACATCCAAGTCGGCTACCCCTCATGGCTCTGGTGGTAACCCCAGGCTTCTGGTGGCCCAGCTGGGGGAAGGTACAAGGCGATGGAAGCTCTTGGAGGCTTGGGAAAACGGTCTCCCATGACTACAGTCAGGAGGAGTCAAGTTGAGAGGTCCTTTGTGCCGTGGGATGGGAGGTCTGGGCCGGTAGCTTTTTGGTGAAGTGTCTGGGGCCAGATCTCAGATTGTGGGCAACCTCAAGTTCACAGGATTTGGTTCAGATGGTTCACCTGGCTGCCTGTGACCTGGGGAGGGGACCCGGCCACAGTGCTCAGCCCTTGGGCTGCAGGGCCCGAGTTGGTGAGTTAGGAGAAGGCTGCCAAGCTGATGCTGGAGTCCAGGTTCCAGAGAGGCCTTCAGAGGGACACCTGAGTCCCCAGGAATTCCGGGGGAGCTGTTTGAGGGACAAGATCCCTGCAGGGCAACCCTGTAAACTCGTGGCCTCTGGGGCATTGCATTGCTCAGTGTCTCCCTCACTTGACTGCCCTTCTCCTCCCACCCTCTGCCAGAGTCTTTACTGCTCATGAATGGGGTGGGGGTGGGGGTGGGGGTGGGGTGTCCCCCTAGGGTTTTTGCCCTAACTCCCGTGTCTTAGCCGTGAGCTTAAAGGATGAAATGCTTCGCTCACTCCTTGCCCTGCCATCCTGGCTGGAGGCTGTAGGTGGGTTTGGATCCTGCGGTGGGACAGGGGCTGACTGAGAGAGTTGACAGGGTGCGGACATGGCATCTGCCTACATAGGATGTCGGGGGAGCCGGGCTGCTCCCTAGTTTGCGATCCAGGAGCCACACAGCTGTTGGTCCCCAAACTGCCTGATGAGACCCTCATAGAACAGTGGTCGGCAGTGATTATTATACAGCAGAGGAGGGACCAAGCGGCTCCGGGTTTAACCATCACGCTGCCCTTTCTCTACTTTGTGCCCCACCCCTGACAAGAATCTGTGCCTGTCCTGATCAGGCAGTGAATGCCGCTTTGTTTCCCACGGAGGCCCCTGTTCGCTGGGGAGGCTTGATGTGGGTATTGGCAGACACTCTGCAGGTGGACAGGGCCCAGGGATCTGCCGCATCCTTCAGGGTGGGGAGGTGTCCTGAGCCCTTGGGAGTTCTAGAAACCCACCCTTTCCTCATCTTCCCAGGGGTGAAGACCGTGGGGGCTCAGGACTTGGTATTGACTCAGTTTTTGTACCTTCGAGGCTCTGCCCCTTCTGAGCATCTTGCTGTGGAGGTGTCTTTTACTAGGCAGATGGGTTGGGCCACTTGGGCTGCTGGGAATCGTGGGAATTTCTGAAGCTGTGTTCCCCAGCCCACGGGAAAGGGTGTGAGCGGGACTGGGCGCCAGCCCCGGGTGGGCACGGGCTGAGCTGCCTGCCTACGCTGCCCTGCCAGAGCACCAGCAGCCCCACCTGCTGCATTCCTGAGCCTGGCCCCAGCCCTGCACAGCCTCTTTTGTCTCTGCCCCACACCTGCGTCTGTCAGGAGTCATTCAGCCCCTTCACTCTGCTCCCTTCCACCTCCTCAATCTGAGTGCATCTTTCTCCAGCTACAAAGTCCAAACCATGTGGGCAAGCAAGATCAAGGAGCAAGGAGGCCTGTGAAGACGTGAGGTTTTCCTAGTTTGTGTGTGCGTGTGTGTACGTGTGTGTGTACGTGTGAGTTCTTGTGTCCCCGCCATGGCTGACTCCCAGGCTGCTCTGCTCCATATGGACCTCACCCCTGGGAATCCTTGATGAGAATTCAAGGCTTACTGAGAATTTGTCTTGCCAGGGGGTGGGGCTATGCAGGGGCAGAGCTCATTGCCTGTTCCTCGCTGGGGGAGTGCAGTTGGGGCTTAAACATCCAGCTACTCTCAGCCTCATCTGATTGCTTTCTGCTGCCTCACTTACACTGGGTATTGGAGGGCTTACCTTCATTTGCAAGAAAATGAATGAGATCACGTCTGGGGTGGATCGTAGGCTGTTTAGGGATGGGCCCAGGTGGGTGCATGTGTAGTATCTGAGGCTTGAAGACTAGTTCTGGGAGGAGTGGGGACAGGTTGGCAAACTCATGGCCTTTTTTTTTTAAATCCTCGCATAAGAATCTGTATATTGATTTTAGAGGGGAGGAGGAGGGAGAAGGAGACAGAGAGAAAGAGAAAGAGGAACATCAGTAGGTTGTTTCCAGTATGTGCCCCCACTGGGATCAAACCTGCAACCTTTTGGAGTATGGGACAGTGCTCCCATCAGCTGAGCCCCCTGATAGTTTTTTTAACACTGGGACGCTGTCTATTACTACATCGGCCTTGGCAGGCCTACTGCGGGGCCTTTGGGTGCCTTATTCTGGTTAGATCCATAGCCTGGGAGGCAGAGCACTGCCTGGATTTCAGACCCTGCACAGGGCATAACTTACACAACACACATAGAGCCTTGGGCTTGGGTCCCCTGGACCCAAGTCTAGGGGGCGCTGGATGTGGGGTGAATGTCGCTGCCTTTCCAAATTCCTGGAAACAGCATGGGTTATGGGTAGAAGTGGGCTGCTCTCTTTCTCTGACCAATTGTTAAAAGGGGCACATTGCATTTCGAGAGTTGGGTGGCACAAGGATCAAAGAGTAGGGAGATGACACCTGGGAGTCCCAACACAGGCTGCTGGGCTGGGATACCAGCTTCTCCCTTAACTTTCACCAGAGACTCCCGGTCAGCCCTGCATCTCCCGTCCGCCATGGAAGGAGTGGAGTTCGGAAGCCTTTCTGCCCTTTGTTCTTTGTGCACATGCAGCCCCTTGGGAGTCTATGAGGTCTCTCCACCTGGCGGTGGGCACTGTCACCTGAAAAGGAATTTGTGGGGGTGTGACTACTGTAGCCATTTCCCTTCTCTTGAGCGCTGGCAGCCCGACCAGTTAGAAAGAGAAGAAACCCGGGTTTGGTCCAGTTCTGTTGATTCCCTCTGTGTCCCTAGGCAACTGTCCCTCCTCCTCTTCACCAGGTGTAAACTAACAAGCTCTGAGGTCTCCTTCAGCTCCCAGATTCCGGAGTTGGGGGCCTCTAACCCTGCTCCATCTCTCCCCAGGGATGCTGTTTTGAGTGCCTGACTGCCTCGCCCAGAAGGATGGCCTCGGATGGGCATTAGAGGCACAGCGGCCCCGGGCTCCTGTCCCGTCCGTCTGTCTGTTATCGTCTGTCTCGCTTGACATCATCGCAGCTCCATCCCCTCCTGTCCCAGCCCCCAGCGCCAGCTTCCTGCAGGCCCAGAGCCGGCATGAACTCTCCCACCGAGTCGGGTAAGAGCTGGGAGGCTGGAGAAGGGCGCCCCGGGGTGGCTTGGGCTGCGATGCACACACAGTGCGGGCTGGGAGCCCAGGCCCGTCTCAGCTGTGAGGGAACGAGGGGGTCAGGAGTGGAGGAGCATTGTGGGAAAGGGCAGAAGTGAACCCGAGGTTGCGGATCCCAGGGTACAACCGCGAATTGATGGGTCAGCAGCCTGAACTGGCCCTTGGAGGCCGTGGGTCCGACTGCTGTCCCCATGCCTGCCCTGAGAGGGGCTGCGGGTCCCTGAGTCTCTCTGGGGGGTCTGGGCATGATGTCGGAGGAAGTTCCCTACCATAGCTGAATGCCAGGCCTCCTTTTTGTGGTGATAGCTCTCTTCCTGGTGGCGTGTTTCTGTGTCTCATACTTTTCTTTTTTTTTAACAGAAGTTTGTGGGGTCTTGGCCTCGGTCCGTGTTGGGGCGTGTGGTGTTGGGGCGGGGTGCGATGCCATGTAGTTAGAGGGGTCTTGGCTTTGTCCTTTGAGTCAGGTGCACGACCCCTGCTCTGGTTGGGCCCTAGACGTGGTGGATTCCCAATTTGGGGTCTTTGACTCTGAGATTTCCTATTCCTCTCGGCTCTTAGGAGCCTGCCTCCAGCCGCCAGAAATAGTCTCTGGGTGGGACTCCAGGCCACTTTGTGTGTGGGTGGGTCTGGGTGTATGCCCGTGAGGATGTGTCCAAGTGGCCTGAGCTGGACCCTCAGGAGTTTCACAGAAGGGTCATGGGTCACTGTGGTCAAAGTAATAACTGCCTTCTCCCCTTGGCTGTCTCCTTCTGTGCGGCCTTAAAGGGTCAGAGTCCTTCTTGCTCAACAGCCTGTCCTGTCTCCCACGTCTTTTCCTGTAGGGGCGGAGGAGCAGTTTTCCTTCTTGTGGCGATGGGAAAACTAGGGTCTGGAGAGGAAAACCTGTTTGCAGGAGAGACGGAAGCGGCTTCAGGGAGCCGTCCGGGGCCCCCCCTTCTCGCCTCCTTCCCTGCTCTCAGTTTACTGGACCTGCTGCTTTCTGTTGTGGGGCCCCGGTGCTGGTGACATGTGGCAGAGGCCCTCACCAGGTCCTGGGGGTCCAGCAGACTCAGCGAAACTGGAAGCTGGTGGGGGTTGTTTGGCTTTGTGCCATTAGTTTTGGTCAAGGCTGCGCCCCCTCCCCCTTCCCTTTCCAGCATCACACGCCCGGGGCACAGGCTGCGGGCAGAGTGGAGTGCCCGCTGGAGAAGGCTGCGCTCCGAGACTCGCTGAGTCTGCTCCACCTGATGAGCCCCTTCTGCAGGGGTGGTGCTTTCCCTTGCCCTCGCCTTCATTTGACCTCTAGGGGCCGTGGCAGGCGATAGACATGGGGAGGTCGGGGTGGGCTGTTGAGCTCGGACTTCCTGCTTCCTCCTCTGAGAGAAGAGGCGGGGAGGGGGTGGGTGGTGGGGGGGGTTCTCATCACTTCCTGGGGCATCTCAGTGGGACACTGCCTCGAGCAGGGTTGTTGTCCTCAGCAGTAGCGCCAGCGGTACCTGCCCTCTGAGCTACTGTGTTGACCTGTCCTTGGAGCCACCTCCAGGCACAGGGGGGCTGGGGTCGGAGCCAGGGCCAGCGGAACAGAAGCTGCCCAGAGGCATCTGTTGGTGGCTTGGGAAGGACATTTCCCAGTTTTGGGATTTTATTCCCTTAAAAAAAAGAGGCTAAAATAATCAGCTTCGGATAGATGATGTCACCGGGTTGCCTTCCAGATGCTGGTGGTCCCAGTTTCCTTTGCAGCCACTTCTGCAGGGGTTAGTGGGAGTGTGGCAGTAGCTGAAGGCTTCCCCCAGCACAGGAGCCAGGTGGCCTGGGAGCGACCCCTGAGCCCGCCAGGTGGGGGCTCCTGAGTGGGGCCTGTGGAATAGGCTACGCCTGCGGGCCAGCTTTCCCGCTCCCCCCAGTAGGGGGAGATGCTGTCCTCTGGTGTCTGCGAAGGAAGGAGAGGAGGGGGCCAGAGGCCGGGGACCTCATTTTAGGACTGTGGAGAGGCCTCAGGTGGGATCATTGCTTGGGCGCACGCCGTGAGGCCCTTCGCCCCTGAATTTTCTTGGGGTTCCGGGCTGGCTCTCCCACTTGTGGAGTGAGAGCCGCTCTGGGGACGGCCACCTCCACAGGCTCACCCTTGTCAGCGGGCCCAGCATCTGCTATTCCCAGAGTTCAGGGTGGCATTGGGGCTGGGGCTGGGGGTGCCCAGCGCCAGGCAGAAGCTTGGATACCACGTGCCTTTGGACTCCACGGAAGTAAAATGAAACCATGAGTTGTAGCTAGAGCACGTGGGTGTCTACTTCCCCTGTAGACACCCTGTGGAGAGGCCTGGGAACAAAGGTGGGTACAATGAGCACCACTAGTCCCTGCGGCCTGGGGGGCCCGGCCCCTGAGCATTCCCACCGCCTCCCGGTCCCCGAAGGCCCGTTCCTCTTCCCTTCGGACGAGACCAGCACTGCTCTTGGCTTTCCCTCAATTCCTCCCAGGGCAGGAGCTTTCCTGTGCGTTAAGTCCTCCCTGACTGTCCCTAGTGTGTGAAGCCAGGAGCTCGGCCTGTGAGGAAGAATAGAAGGTGGTTCAACCCTGGCCTCGGAACAGACAAGTTGGGAAAAGGGAGTCCTGGGTGAGGGGCGGCAGGCAGGGACCCGGGGCCATTTGCCTCCGGGGCGTACCCCTCCCCCTCGGCATGTGGGAGCCGATCGCCTTACCTCTAGGCTGGGCTGAACGCCAGCATTTGACCTGATTTGCCTCTTTTCTAGTCCTGGGTATAGGCAGAGCCCCCTGAGGGGGCTGCCTGCTTTCCTGAGGGGGCCACTGCCTGGTGCCTGGCTTCTCTTCAGGCGAAAGGGGACTCCAGTTAGGCTTTCTTTATTTTTCTGGAACCGATCACTTCTGCTTCCCTCAGTGCGTTGAAGTGCTGGCAGAATCTGTGCCCTTCCTGGGTTTGGTCCCACTGATTGGAGGAGCTGCCATGAGCCCTGGGACCTAGGCCCGCTCTGCTGCCCAGAGGAGAGGGCAGGAGCGAAGCCCGCTGTGCGAGCCAGTCTAGATGGCGACAGGGCCCCAGGAGAAGGCGGCCAGCTTCCTTGTTCCCAGCGTGGGAGGGAGGCAAGCTTCATGACGACACCTGCTTGCCCAGTACCTCCCAGCACACTCCACACTTTCTCTCCTTCCCTTTCCCAGGAGGGAGGGAAGGAGGGCCGCTGCCCCCTCCTTTCTGGGTGACCAGAGAAACTGGGGCATGGGCGTGGGGTGGAGCCAGGAACCTCGGCGTCCTGCCTCCCGGTCTCCAGCTCAGGCTCTGCCTCTGAGCCCCTGGGGAAGGCGGGCGGCTGGCCCTGAGGAGGTGAAAGTGGGTCAGGGCCAGGGGTGGGGGGTTTGGGAGGTGGACTCCTGGCATCCCTTCCCCACTTAGGTGCCTCTGGCACACCTCTGTGCTCACCAGGGATGGGGGGGTCTACTCTGCTTCCTCTTCCCCACTCAATCATTCCAAAGGGATTGAAGGCTTAGAATGGGATGGTGGGAGGAGGCAGGGTCAACCTTGAGGGGATGTGGAAGATGCCAAAGTAGGTGTTCATGTTTTTGCTGGACTTGGTTTCAAGTGAGAGGGCTCAGCTAGCACCTAGCATGGGACCAGGCATACGGCAGCACCCAACCGAGACCAGCGGGCTCCAGCGCGACTGGGCTCAGAGGGCAGGAGAGGACTGGAGGGCGGGCGGGCCTCATGTCCCCAGGATCCCAGGGAAACTGGTGCCCCGCACTCCATCTGGGGTGCTCTTGGGCCAGCCTTCAGCTTTCGTACTGCCCGCAAAACACACTGCTTTTTTCCTTTTGGTTAGGCCGCACCCCAGCCATTTGGACCCAGGAAAGGGGAGACTAGAGGGGCCCAAGGAGCCTGGTTGGGTTCCCCTCCTCTACATGTACGGGTTAGGAGGTTTGACCCCAGCTTCCAAGGGACAGAACAAGGTCATTGTGGTTCTGAGGTGATGCTGGCTCCGAATGAGGCTCGTGCACCCCATGCTTGGTGGGCACTCGCTCTGTAAGATTTGTAGGGTGACATGTGGGAGCGCCGGACGGGTGCGGATGCAGGAGAGGCATGAAGCGCGAGGACAGGGGCTGTAGAGCAGGAAGGATTGAGGTTAGGCATCGGGAAGATCTTGTTGCATCACTGGAACCTCAGAAGTGAAAAAAGACACTTGTCCTTATCCCAGGCCTCCTCTCTGACTGCCCTGGAGGATCTTGGGAACTGCACTGAGGATTCCCTGGCTGTGTCTGATGCTTTGTTTCCCACTTCTTGCTGTTACTAGAAGTCATAACAGTGCTGGGAATTGCCCCAAGCCCGGGCTCTGGCCACTTTTGGGTGCCCAGTTTCCTGGGTGCTTTTATCTTCCCTAAGCAGAGACTTCTTTGCTTAGGTTTCTGGCCACTCGAGGTTCCGGGGGCCCTGCTTTGAGTCATTGTAACTGGTGACTTCCTCTCTTCCAGGACAGGGCTCCTCTGCCACACTCGCCTGTGCCTGGGGCAGGCAGAGAGAGCCAGGACAGGGTCAGCCAGCCCTTCCGGTTGCTCCCAGCGTGGGTGGGTGGAGTCCTGGGCTGGGAGGGGCTCCTGCCCCTGGCTTTCTGGGCTCCCTCGAGTCTGCTGCCCATCACCCCGCTGAGGGGACCCTGCCCTTCACTTCCCCTCCTTTTGAGAGAGCCAACTGGGCCAGGACGAGTTAGGGGTTGAGGGTGGGGAACGAGGTCCCCAGACCTACCCCGAAGGTGTCCCTCAACTGCAGACCCCCGTGAGGGCGCTGCCTCACCACCATTTTTCTAGAGGCAGCCTCGGCTAAGAAGCTGAGGCTCCAGATGCTTGTTTAGGTCCCGTTCCCCCCTCGCCCCCAAATATACATCTTGCCAGCCAGCCTGTGGCCTGGCAGTGGCCACCTCTGCCACCGCCCCTGTCCATGTGCACCTCCACCTGAGGGCAGGGGGCACCTTTGCGGTCCCAGGCTGAAGGAAGCTGACTGGGAAGATGGGCTCTAGGAGCCACAGCCACCGTGTCCTTGGTTGGCCAGCTCCTGTCGGACTCCCGACAAGAGGGTGAGGTCATCCAGTCCAGGGAGAGGACAGGTGTCCCTGGCTCCATGCCTGGAGTTGGGGGCAAGAAGGGGCCAGGAGGGGGCTCTAAAATAGCAACTGTGACATCAGGAAGGGGGAGGGGGACACCGACCCAGGAATAACCAAGCTATTAAAAGGCTCCAGTAAGGTCAGGGGGCCAAGCGGGATCTCTGTACCAGTGGGAGGCACAACCTGAGGAGAAGGGACGGGGTCCACAGTGGGCAGGGTAGGTGGGTAGCGCCGGTTCTCATGGGGCACCGGCCCCAGGTCCCAGGGGCACCCAGAACAGGAGCTGCTCTCAGGTGTGCGGCTGGTGGGGAAGAACTGGCTGCTGGCAGCCTCTTGGTTCTTCTTAGAGGGGCTCCAACCTCAAGTGTATTCTACATGGGTGCTGGGGGCCATCGCTCCCGTTAATGGGAACCCTGGGCAGCTTCGCACACTCCCTTATGCGGGACGCTGTGGTCTGTGGTAGTTAGAGCTAAGACGTTTCGGCCCGACGTTGAAGCGGTTATATGGCCAAGGGTGAGTGACTTCATCTCTCAGTTTCCCGATCTGCATCTATCTTGTGAGGTCATCGTGCAGAATAAATAAGTTGATGTATGTGCTGCTGTTAGCGTTACACCTGGCACGTTGCCGCTGAAGAGCTACCTGTGCTCTGAGAACGGGCAGGTGCTCCCAGGTCCCCTTCCCTGGACCGGTGTGGGGCCTGTCTAGGAAGAGTCTACTGTCCCCTGGAAGGGAGCTAAGCAGCCTCTGGAGGTGACCCCAGTAGGTAGGAGGGAGCTGCCATTTAGCTGCTGCCCAGGTGTCTCTCTGCTGGTTGAGGGGGTGAAGAGGCACCTCCCAGCTCTAGGGAGAGCAGAGGTTAAGTAAACTCCCTCCAGGCCCTGCGAAGGGCTCCAAGGGAGGAGGCCAGGTGGCCCTGTCCGCCATCCTCTTAGAAGTCCCTTCCTCTTCCTGTACCTGCTCTGGATGTGAAAGGGAAGATAGAGGATAGAATTGTTTTTTGGTCTCCAGCCCCTCACCTGCGAAGAGCAGGGCCAGAGCCGCTCTCAGATGCGTGGGTACTCTGGTGGTACCTTCCCCAGCCTCGCCTCTGGCCACCCGGCTCTGTGGCCTTGGCCCTGAGTGCAAGCCCTCCCCTGTTCCCATCCCCCTGCCTGGCGCTTCCTCCTGGGGTGGAACGCGCCTCCCCCCATGGGGCCTCCGCCAGGCCCGGGCTCCTGGCAGCCAGCCGGCGGCTCCCTGAGCATGCTCCACCTATTTATAGACAGGGCCCTCCCCCAACTGCTATTTCAGTCTCCTGCCAGCTGCCGGCGGCTCATTCGGGAAGGAGGAGCAGGGAGCCGGTTCCATAGCTGTCACCCAGGGCTGGGAGGGAACACAGAGAGCCCGCCTGCCTGCTGAGCTTCCCTTCCTGTCCCCTGAGTGCTCAGCCATACTCCAGCTCCTGAGAGCTGGGGACAAGCCGCTTGTCCAATGCCCCTCTAGGGGTGAGCTGGGCCTGTGACTCGGGCCTCTGGGCTCTCCCTGCCACTAGGGGTGCCTAGGCCGGATGAGGCACCTCCCCGAGTGTGGGTCCCGGCAGCAGCGGCCTGAGGGAATCCCTGAGCAGTGAGGGCCAGCCCGACCACCTTCCCTGTGTCTGACTCCCGCCTCGGGCGGCCCCCTCCCTGGCATGCTGCTGGTGCCCAAGGCTCAGGGGCTCGTGGAGATGCTGCAAACCATCTATGAGACGGAATCCTGTTTCTCAGCAGATGGGATGTCAGGCCGGGAACCATCCTTGGAAATCCTGCCTCGGACTGCTCTGCACGGCATCCCTGTGGCAGGTAAGTGCCTCGGTGTCCTCACCTGCCCTCTGCCATTGGGCACCCATTCCCTGGGGCTAAGCATCTGGCTCTGAGATTCACTTGGGGGGTCTGGCTGAGATCTCTCAGGGACGCTTTGTGCTGAGAATGTGGGTAGTCAGGGGAGTCGCACTCACTGAGGTGGGCTTTCCTGCCCTCCCTTCCGCTACACTGTGCTGCATCTCTTCAAACCCCTCCGGCGGGGCCGGCATTGGCTGCTGGGGGCTGTAGGTTGCTAGAGGATCCTGGCCTAGTTGGCACCGTGGTCAGCGGGGGGAAGTGGGTCAGTGACCTGCCTCCAGGCTGCCCGCCCCCCAGGCTTAGGTAGGGGAAGAGGCCAGAGCTGAGTGTTCACGCGAGTAAAGGCTGCCTTAGCTCCTCAGGCTGGGGGTTCTGAGGAGCAGAAGTCCAGTGCAGTGATTTTTGCAGGTCCCCAGTTGGGAGTCCCCTGGGGATAAGCCACCTGGGCAGGAGGCTTGTGCATCTGTGGTAGAGTTAGGCAGAGGCTGGCGGCTGGGATGTTGGGGGCCTTTGCTGCCTTAGGTCTTCGCTCCCCACGTCTTTCCTTTCTCGGGGCCTCAGTTTGTTCCCGTCGCATGAGAGCAAAGCAGGGTCTTCACATAGGCTTGAGGACCCCCTAGCCCTGTCACCTTCTGAGCAGGGACTTTCTTGGCTCTCGGCTGGAGGTGGGGTCCCCCAGACCTGGGCCACTCCCTCCCTCGCTCCCAGGAACCTGTTGGCAGCATCAGGCCTTTCTGGCACAGCCTTCCCACCAGGCCGGCACCACAAGATGCTTCCTCAAGGGAGGGGCCCGCTGGATCCATGCCCGCTTGGCCCCTCCTGGCAGTGGCTCGGCACTTGGGTGTGGGTGTCTGTGTGTGTGTATGGGGAGTCTTTGCCTCTGGGTACGTGGGTGTGGGTCCCAGGCTTTGAATTGGAAGGTGGGAGCCGTGATTTGGCTTTAAACCATCGAGGGATAAGGTTGCAGCTGAACTGGGATGTGTCAGAGGATAAATAAATGTTTTGGGTAGATTTGGAAAACTCTTGGAACAAGGCCTGCCATCTGCCTGGGCAGGGATGCCCATGCAGTCTCCTAGGGTAGGGGCATAACCCTGAGGGTCAGCCCTGCAAAGCCCTACATGGTCCCCTGGGAGGGAGTGTGAACATCGAGGGCTGGTCTAGCCCTGGTCTAGTTGAGTCTGTAGCTCTAGCTAAAGACCCTGCCCAGCGGCGCTTGTCCCAAAGCCTCTAGGAGTCAAGGTGGTCTCTCGGGAAGCAAAGGACTGACTCTGCAGCGCATCTGCTTGGGGGCAGCTCTATCCCATTTGGCAGATGCGTATCAGTCCACCCATCCTGCCCTGTTCCCGCAGTCCCTTGCCTCCCAGCAGGAGCTGGGGGTTGTCCTGAGGTTTCCCCTTCAGCTTGTTCTCTCACCTTCTTTCAAGGTAAACCCCAGAATCCTTACAGGAGGGAACCCCACTATCTCTGTCCGCGCCCCAAGGCTGCCCGTGGCTGCAGAGAACCCCGCAGCCAGCCTCTCTCTTCGGATCCCCGTCTCCGCACGCACCCCCAACACGCACACTGCCTAGCCTTCTGAGCGGTGGCGTGGTCAATGCTGGCAGGAGGGAGACATGAGTCACCTCAGCAGCTCGGGGAGAGGGCTAAGAATGTCCCCCCTGCGCAACTCTGATGCTGTGTCTGTGACGCGGCTGGGGACAGATATAGGCCGGGAGCTCGGCTGCCTTTTTTTTTTTTTTTTTGGACTCTGGAATGTAAATAGACGTTTCAAATAGAAACACTTTAACCTTTGGGTTAAAAAAAAATCCACCCCGGATAAACATGGCCATGAGGGCCCAGGCAGCTTGGTCTCCCCCCGCACCCCCACCCCAATCTCTTGATCAGTCTCCAGACAGGATGCAAGAGCCTGTGGCTAAAAAAGCAGGTGTCCAGGGACGCCTTTTGGGCAGTGTGTGTGGCCAGTCTTCTGCAGCACGGCAGGACGGGGAACAGGGGCTTTCCAGGGTGCACTCTGCCTGCTCCGGCAACAAGTGTGGAATCCCGTTTTAGGGGAATCCTTTGCGCCCTGGGCTGTCTTTCACGGCCATGTCCCAGCATTAGCACAGTGCCTGGCACACGGATGAATGAATGATGCTTGAGGGGCTGGCATCCAGGGCTGATGGCAGGACTCCTAGGCTCTATTCCGGGGCTTGGCCCTCGGGGTAAACAGACAGATGCGGTGAGTTGCCCGAGTCGGGGAGCCAGAGCCTTGGCAGGCAGAGCCTGTGACGGATGCGGGGTACACGCTGCCGTTCCTGCCTGGGGAGGGGGACAGAGTACAGCTTAGGTCCCCCTAGGTCTGGTGCCATCCCAGGTCTTCCTGAAGGGCCTCCCCACAACAGCCTGGCACACAGTGGGGCACCCCCTCAGCTGGGCTGGGTCCCAGTCTGGGGAGCCTAGGAGCTTGACCTCGGGGGTGAAATTCCCCAGGATGCAGTGCTGGGAGATCCCCTGCCTCCCTTCTGTGGGCCCTGGAGTCCCGTCCGGCCCAGGCTGGGCAGAGCTGGTGCTTGGGCGACGTGCAGGACATTATGAGCAGGCACGGAAGGGGATACTCCTTTCCCCAGCCAGGGCGGGCGTGTGTCCTGCCGGTGCCAGGAAGGGATACTGTGGATATTGGGACATGCACGAGTGCCATGGGGTGTGGGTTTGGTCTTGGGGTTTCCCCTGGATATTCTTGCTCATGTTCTTCAGACCATTCCAAGCTTGGCTGGGTGTGTGGGTGTGTAGGTTGAGGGTGTAGGGTGGGTAGGAAGGGTGAGACTGTGGTGGGAAGGGAACTAATATTATAGTGTATTAAGTGACAGGGTGTCAGGTGCTTTCCTTATCTCTTCTAGGAAGGTATTAATAGCCATGTTTTAAAATTGAGAAGGATCAGAGAGGTTAAGGAACATGTCCACGGTTGCAGAGTAAGCAACAGCTGAGACTCGGACTCGGGTCTCTGTTAGGGCCACTGCCAACACTCACAAGAGCTCCTTTGTGCAAATTTTAAAACGTGGCCCTTCTTTCAGGTGGATCCATTCTCATGCCAGCGTGCATGGCTTAGCGGTTGGATCATCAGCCAGATTCCAGCCCCAAATTTGCCCTCCCAGTCAGGTGCCCTGGTGCAGCACACAACCTGCACAGCCTCGCGTGGCGGGCCTGTCTCCATGCCTCCAAAGTTTCGGCTCCTGGAGAATAGAGACCAGTCTGCTTGGCGAGGCTCCTGAGAAGAGGCTGTTTTCCATAAATACTGGGGACCGCTTCGTCAGCTGTTCCCCTTCCTGCGAGGGTTTTGGCCCAACAGGAGAAGGGGGCTGAGGCACAGAGTTGTGCACCCTGTCCCATTCCGACAGCCTCCCCTGCCCCCATCCCCTCCTACCTCATCCCCTCTTCTTGTTTTTGAGACCCTCAGCTGTCCCTTTCCTGCTGCACAGCTGCCAGACAGGAAATCAGATTAACCGTGTCCACGCACACAGCTGTAACAGCTGTCAGGTTGGCAGCAAAAATGAGTGGAGCCAGCCCTGGGACACTGTGAGAAAGTAGTTCTCAAACTTTCAGTTGTATCAGAATTACCAGAGGAATGGCTTGAAATGCAGGTTCCCAAGCCTTGCCCCACCGCCAGGTTCAGGTCCTGTACAGTTGGCCGCAGACCAGCGTTTGAACGCATCTCGGGGGGTTCTCATGGCAGCAGACTCAGACCGTGCATGAGCAGGGGCTGTGTGGAGGCAGGGGTCATGTGGACAGTGGTCATGGGGCCTGCCAGCCTGCCCGTGGATGTCACCAGCCGCCCTGGGAGGCCCCGGTGGGCGTTAGGACTCTCGGGAGAAGAGCCTAGTACAAAAGGAGGGAGGTTGTTACCCCGGCCAGAATCAAATCCAGCTTCTAGCCTGGCAGTCTGGGGAGGGAGGATGTCTTGAGACGCTGGGGAGCAGGTGGCTACCCCCCTGCCGGGGTGGGGGATTGTGGCAGGCGGCCAGGTGGGCAGGTGGGCAGGCTGCCCTGCTGGACGCTCGTGGCTGGGTTGTGCCCTGAGGCCCCTGCTGTCCGCCCCAGGTGTGGAGTGAACAGCCCCAGCAGCAGCTGCAGGCTCGGAATGGTTAGTGGGCCTTTTCTTTGCCGCCAGCTTGGTGCCCAAGTGTTTCCTGGACGGCTGGGAGGCTGTTTCTCCTCCGCACAGCCGCCCGAGATCAGCGACGAACTCCAGTGAGAGCCGTTGTGCCTTCCACGTGGGCTCCGTACCCCTGAGGCTTAGGGTCCTTTGGAGACACGGCCTGCCTCCAGGTTTCCGGGGGCCCGCCCACATGGCTTCCCTCTCCCCTGTGCTCCTGGGCTGTCGTGTTTCGGGGGCCCTTAAGATCCCTGGATCTGTAATGTTGAGCTTGGCTCCTCACTCCGTCTCTCATTAAATTCAGGAGCAACCCTCAAGGTTTCTCCTATTTCGTAGCGGGAAGGAGAGAGAGAGCCAGGAGAGCTGGTGTTAAGCCCTGGCTGGCTCCTGTGCCTTCTTTCAGGTGACTTTGGACAAATCTCTTCCATTTGTGGCCCTGCTGTTCCCCTCTGTCAACTGGGGAAGTTAAGTTGCTGATTTGCAGCCCCTTCCTGTACTAACATTCTAAGAGTTTCTGAAGTTGGTTGCACATTGCTTGGGCTGTGCAAGAAGAGGGGCCTAGGAAGACGTGGAATAGAATGGGGAAGGGAAGTGTCGCCTGCGGTGGGCACAGTAAGGTTAGGTACCAGGGAACACTTTTTGGCTGCTTGGAACTGGGGCCCCGAGAGCAGGACTCAAAACTCACGCTCGTCTGTGCCAAGTAATGCTATTGAGGGAGAGGAGGGATTCCACCCCCGTGGGCTGAGCCACAGAGGACAGAGTGGCCTTTCTTGGAGGGAGTGAGGCAGGAGGGAGAGCCTGGAAGAGCCACCTTTGGAAGGAGTCTGTTCCCAGA